CCATTAAGTGCCCGCTGAGTGATTTTAACTTTACAGCGTAATATCAATATCAACACTAACTGCGACCTCCCTTCAATGTGTGCCCCCTTCCACCACAACACTAAATAATCATATTTTCAATACTACAACTACTAAGATCACTTATATTGTTGCGAGCGACCTCACAGGTATCACAAAACACTCATCACAGAGTGGATTGAGACGATGGGAAGTAAATACGAGCTCACAAACTTGTTCTATGGTGGCAAACTCGTGCACCAGTGAGTTATCAATGTAAATCTAGAAGTGCACATGGACTCCAGCGGTAGGGTTCTTTACAGTGAATGGTCACGCTTGCTGCGATGTCCACGGAGTGTTTACTGTACTTCGGTGTCGTTGGCGAGCAAGGAACGAGGTAAGCATGCCTGATGAGTGGCTTGTGTTGCGCAAAGTAACTAAGGTAATTCCTCCACGTAATATTGACTACAGTATAAACTCCACGTAATATTGACTACAGTATTATACTTCACTGTCAGTGAGAAGTACATACTGGAGAAAAGGTGTATCCGTATGTAATAATTCCCTCATTTTGAAACAGTATTTCGGGTCAAAACAACAGTGGAACTGTTTTACAGTAGGCCCCTAAACAGATAGTAATAAAACAATTAAATACGCATATGTTTCGGCGATACATATACAATACTACAGTTTTACTGACCAATTCACCAGACACATCAATCCAAGTTTACAACAGTGAAATTTATGAGCAATGGCCAAATTTTCAAAAAAACGTCCAAAATATTCAGACAGTGCCACAATGACAAATTCATTGGACGAAACGCAAGCCACGTCAATCATAAGAATGGTAGATGTCAGCAAAAACCGTAGATTATGATTGGCCCCCGCCAATTCGTCCAAGGCGCGAAAACTCAAATCATAAATACAATCCTCCTTCACTTTCACTTGTTCACCATGGTTCTCAATGTTTCCGCGATGCTCACACGCTTGGAAGACCAAGCAACCCCCGAACGAACGACCGCGTCTTCCTCGACCAGTGCCTCGACGACCACCCCGAGGTCGCTGAACACCAAGACAACATCCCCGATTCGTCATGTCAGGTTCTGGACAGAGTCAGCAACGACTCCGGCGAATAAGGCGTACGAGTCATGACGAACTTTACCCGGCGTGAGTTTGACGTGTTGTGGGCCGTGGCGGAGCTCCCATCCAAGGCGAGTTGGAACGACGGCCGCGGGTGCAAATCGAAGACAACACCAATGAACGCCCTCTTCATGAGATTGACAGTGCTCAAGCACTACGACACTTGGGAGAAGCACGCGTTGGACTTTGGGTTCAAAGCCCCCACGTTCCAAAAGCTGATTCTCAGATTTATCGAAGTGGTGATGGCTGTCGTTTACGCCGAGTTTGTCAAGATGACGGACATGTCGGAGTTGCGAGCACAAGACCATACCTTTGGAAATAATCCCTACGCCCTCTATGCCACAGACGTCAAGTTCCAGCCAACCGAGCGACCGGCCGGACGCCATGGTGAAGCGAAGCCGTACTTCAGTGCGAAGCACAAGTTGTACGGCTTGAAGATCGAAGCGTCCGTCTCCCCCCAAGGCCGTCTCGTCGACATGAGCGAAGCCCACCGAGGTGCCGTTGCGGACCTGACCATCATGCGGTCACGCATAGATCAGCATGTTGGAGCCCTGGCCAAGTCGGACAACAAGCTCAGCATCTTGGATCATGGTGAGCAAGTGGACACTTACCCAGGAATGCGGGCGCTTCTCGTTGACAAGGGGTACTACGGCGCTTCGGTGGACGTCCGTACAATTCATCTCAAGAAGAACCCGCCGCGTGGCATCTTGGACTCTGATGGTGTCGTGCGGAATCGTCGTGTGTCGTCCGATCGTGTTGTGGTCGAAAACTTTTTCGGTCGTGTCTGCAGCTTGTGGAAAGTATCTTATGCTACTTTCACGTCAAGTACCAAGTTCTATGATGAGATTCAGCGTCTCACGTTTGCATTGACGAACTTTCATGTGTCGTTGATGCCTCTGCGGGAAGCGGACAGACACTAGTACCGCTCTGTGCTTGCGTGCTATGAGTCTATGGTCCATGCTACGGTGGCGAAGCGTGCGGAAAGTGATCGGAAGTCGCGTCTTCGTCGCATGGAACGAATTGCGTTGAGTCGTGGTCGTAACCACTCTCATGTTTTCACGTCTCCGTAATTGTCTACTCCAATAGTTTTGACCTAGAAGTACTTCATTATAAAGTTGTGAATACAAAAGCGGACAGTTTGCTTTGGGTATTAAGATAGTAAACAGGTAGATAACATGATATATAGTGCTAATACCCTTAAACGAGCAGGTAAGAGGGTTTAAAATGCATATTAAAATAAGATAAGGGTTTTAGACGGGTATTTGGTAGGTAAAAAATCTAACTTTTGGACGCCTTTACCCTATTACCCTTGTTTTAATCCGTTTTATACCTAAAAACCACGGATTTTGCTATGTTTAACGTGATTTGTATCCATTTGAAACTCAATTTTTATTCATCGTCCATGCGTACTTTTATTCCAACAACTGGAACCACGAAGCAAATACCCGAAATGCTCCGCGCTACATCAGATTGTGACCGATTTCGGAAATTTGGTGACACTTCCGAAATATACCTATTGTTGGATATTAACTACTAAGTAGTAGTACACTTGCTTTGAAAGTATCAACCTTTGTTACTCGTTAGTCTACACTCGCAACTACAGCTATTCACACAATAGATGAGCTCAGTTCGGGGTAAATGTTTGAGTGAGGAATCTCAAACCGCCGACCACCGTAGCCCATAAATATGCAACCCTGCAACACTGCGACACTTCAACGTGCGTGCTTGCTTGCCATCACAATACACTGTACTCATTCACATGTCAGTACAAGTGTAATTCCATAATAATATAGTACTACTAATTAAAGTAAAGCACTCATATTGTGCTTTTCACTGAACTTTGGACTTCGCAGTCGAAACTTCAAAGCGATTTCGAATGTATTTTCCATGTTTTCCCCGACTGATTTTACCCAATCCGAAGCGACAGGGCACGAGACTGGTAAAATCTCTGGAATGGAGTGATGTGATTGGCTTAAGACATTCATAATCTCTTTGTTTAGGCTATTCGATTCGCCTCCCCAGTCCAATTTAGTGTTGAATACACAATACCTAACACTCCCACTCAGTGTACTTGTGATGCATGCAAGCCTTAACCTTACTTTATCCTTGTAAGTTGCATACTCCCATCAAATCCCTCAAGTATTCAAACTGTTTCACTGGTAGTGCCTTCGTTAAGAGGTCCGCTAGCATCTCTGTAGTTCTACAGTATTGAATCTTAACACTTTTCTTTTCAGCAAGATCTCGTGAAAACAAATATCTCGTTTCAATGTGTTTTGTCGCTTTGTGGTTTCCTGAATTTTGTGCCACACTAATAGCCGACTTACTATCACACCATAATTGTACTGGATCACTCAATTCGAATCCCAATTCATTCAATAAGTGCCACAGCCATTCACTTTCCTTGATACCTTCACTGCAATCAATTCAGATTCAGCAGTCAATTCTGATTCAGCAGTCAATTCTGATTCAGCAGTCAATTCTGATTCAGCAGTAGACAATGCTACACAGCACTGCTTACAACTACAGTGATCCCTCAACGTTTGCTCGCTATTCCAAATATAAATTTTCCAAGTCAACCTATTGTACAAAGAAACCACAAACATTAACTTTGAAGGGTGACTATCTGCTGGTCAATTAACAATGTAAGCAAAAGCTGAAGTGAATGGTAGAACCCCCGTATGGGCCCAGCAGTTTCGAATGGTCGTTGATGTGTCGCAATTCCAGGCGAGCCTTCGCTGGCTTGATCGTCATATTTGCCTTAAAGTACTCTCTAATCGAGTTCTTGTCATGAATTGTCAACCGCTTGCTTTGCTTGCGCTTGTTTTGCATGCTCTCAAATGTCTTTGTGTGTGTAGTTGTCAATGTGAGGTGTTTGGCTCGTCAATTTTGAATTTTCAAACGAAGGCCCCTAGTAAATTAATATCGAATAAAATTTAACGGAGAATAAATTTATACCAGGGAGCAAACGTTGAGGGATCACTGTACACCATGATATGCATGTTCCAGCAAGTAATACTAAATATCCAGAAATACTCGTACGATCTTTTTCTCGATTCGCGAAACTCGCATCAGAATAGATCTCATACTGTAGGTTCTTCTCATTTCCATCTAGTAGAAGTCCATACTCTAATGTCCCTTTCAAGTATTTCAATACTCGTCGGGCTGATTCCCAGTGTGTTGCATTATAACACGACAAGAATCTGCTTAGTTCTCGTACAGTATTTGCATTGTTAGGCCTAGTACAGTACCTCTGACTAAGTACTGTAACGAACCAACAATTCCCCTATAATCATATGGTTGTTTCGCAATCTCTGCTGGTGTCAAGGTCCTTTCTGGTAGTAAAACAGCTCCCACTATTTAGGGTGTCGACGCTGTCATACAATTTTCCATATCATACTTGCTTAGTAAATCTCGAATGTACTTTCTTTGCGATATTTTCATTGTTTTCGCTGACATATCTCGAGACACTTCCATTTTGAGGATGTAGTTTATTTCACCCAAGTCTTTCATCTTAAACCTTTTGCCTAATTCCTCTTTAACATGAATCATGTTCTCAATGTACTTGGTCATTATCGTTAGGTCATCACATAAACTACGATAACAATCGTATCATCTCCCACCTTTTTGACATATATACAGTACTCTTTGTAGCACCGAGTAAATCCCATTGATGTCAAAAACTCATGCAACATTCTGTATCAAATCCTTGGTGCCTGCTTAAGCCCATATATGCTTTTTAACAGCTCACATACAAAGGATTCCCTCCCTGACTTTACATAACCTGGAGGTTGTCGCATATATATTCGAGTTTCCTCCGTCATATTTCCATTTAGGAATGCAGTTTGCACATCCATTTGATGAATATGCAGATTCAATATTACACCAATCGCTAAAATAAGCCTTAAAGACTCAAAGCGTGCAACAGGTGGATACACCTCATCACAGTCAACTCCAAACTATTGATGACCTCCTTGAGCAACTAGTCTAGCTTTATATCGCTCAATACTTCCATTTGAATGGTATTTCATATTAAATACCCAATGACAAGGAATATCATTTCTACCAATCGGTAAAGGAACTAATTTCCATGTCTCATTTTCCGCGGTTGTCACGGCCAATCACGGCTGCGGTCTCGACCACCAGAGCCACCCCCATTGCCACGATCATCTCGTCCATATCCACTGTGGCCACTGTTATCACGACCACCACGGTTACGATCATCACGACCTGGGCCACCACGGCCACTGAAACCACCCTGGCCACTTGGCCCTCCGCGATCATCGCGGTCGTCACGACGTCGATGGGTAGGGCGCGGCGAATAGTCGACGTC